GGTGGGGGGCTTTGCCAGACGGGGGGAAATGGGGCGCGGCTGCGGCACAGGCGTAGGAAGGTGACGAGCGGGCTGGGTCGCGGCACGCGCGCCCGGGCACAGCTGGCAGCTGGGGCTGTGCTTGGCACTATTCCTTTGTGTGGGCCCTGCATCCCTGGCCCTGTCAAAATTGTTTTCCACGGCACGCTGGCGGCCCCGTGACACCTCAGCCGCGCATTTGTCACACCACAATTTTGAGACCCCCCCAAAATGTGTCGCACTCCGGACCCAACCCCTGTTTTTGTGCCCTCCCCTTATCGTGCCCCTGCTCAACACCTCGATTTGCCCCAACCTTTGTCACCAACAGGCACCCATCCCTCACGCCCGTCCCCACCCCTCACCGCCCTCTCCCCCTCCCCCAAACCCACAAACGCACACATCAACACTCAAACGCCCGACCCCCAACACACACACCTCCACACCCCCATCCCCCACCCCCCCCCCACCCCCAGGTGACATCACCGACATGAAGGCCCTGGGGGTGTGGGAGCCCCTGGCCGTGAAGGAGCAGACCATCAAGACCGCCGTGGAGAGCGCCACAATGCTGCTGCGCATCGACGACATCGTCAGCGGGATAGGTGGGGGGGCGGAGCGCGGGACAACAGGAGTCGTGGGCACGTGCGTGCCTGTGCACGGCATGTGTGGCAGCCGCGAGGGCGTGCGCGCGGGTGCAGCTGCGCATGGGTGTTTGTTTTGTTGGGGTGGGGTGGGTGGCAACAGGGGGCCATCAAGTACGTGTGCAGAGAGTTGAGGAGGGTCTGGTGTCGGAGAGGCGGTGCCGCGACAGGTTTATGACTCGTTTGCAGGATTGTGATCGGGAGGGGGCAAAAGGTGAGCACCAGCTGGTGCAGTCCTGTCCTCTCCCGCCCGTATGCGCGGGCGGCCCACCGCCCCGGCCTGCCGCGCTCCCGATCACCCTCCCTCCCACCCCCCACAGCCAAGAAGGGCGCGCCGGGCGGCGGCGGCGGCGGCGGCGCGCAGGTGGACGACGGCGGCGACGTGGACCCCGAGGCGATGCTGCCAGAGTGACCTGGGGGCTGCTGAGCTGGCGGCGGCGGTGGTGATTGCCCTGGCCGTGGTCGGTCGTTTGGCCACTCACGAGCCTGACGTGGCTGCTGCGCTGCATGGACGGCTGCGGGTGCGGGTGCGGGTGCGGCGCCGAGAGGCACTGGTGGCGCGCCAGGGCAACCGAATGGCCGAGCCGTGCTGCGCGTTGGTGGGCCCTCAGGCTGCCCCTGAGCGTCCCCTGCAGCACCCTCTTGGTAACACGGGCCGTTCCTTTACAGATGCATGACGTAGCGCCAGCAGCCAGCAGCAACCTCCGAGAGTTGTCGCCCTGAGTCGTGGGGGCGGCCACCCCGTTGCCCAGCCCGGCAGCCACACACAGGAGAACAACAGTGAGGTGTTGCCATGGGCGCCAGGAAGGGCGCCCGTGCCTCTTGCGCAGGGGTGCCAGGGAGGCCCCCCTCCGGACAAGCGGCAACTGTGCCCAGCAAATAACCTCATCGCGATAGCTGATGATTGCTGGTGCACTGGACCCAACCATGACGCAAGCGGGGCATTGACACAGTGCTGTGCCACCCGCAAGCAGATGAAACAGGTCTTTCGGTGCCGCTGCTGCGCCTGCACGCGATCACGGCGAGGCATGGACTGGCAAGAATTGGGGCTGCTGGACGGCGAGGCACAAAAGTGCGGTGAAAATTATAACTACACGGGGCAACATCATTGACGGACTGTATCCAAAGTAAATCCCTCGACCGCGGATTTCCCACCAAGTAGGTCGACCCGCCGGCACTTGTCCAACCACCACAATTGATGGTGGGGATTTGGCTTGGGGAGGCGGTGCCAGATGAGCCCGAGCCGCTTCACCAATAAGCGTTCAGGTGCTTGCAGCGACAACCGAATGCTGCCGCCGAGGAGCTCGGTCCAGTTCCCAGCAATGACGGCGCTGTCAGCCGACTCGACGGGCAGGTCGGTCGCGACCCCATACCTTGACGGAAATTCTTTGACCGCGTCAGCGCTGTTGGCTGACAGGAACGTGCGCCCCTGCACCAGACCTGCGGGCCGCGTGACAGGCGCCCAGCACAGGGCGTCGGCGCAAGCGCGGCTGCCCAGCGCCCTTTGCTCTCCTCTCTGATACTGATACAGCACGACGCGCTTGCGCAGGTACCGAGCCGCGGGTTGACGGCGTCCGTCTTCTTGACCAAGGGGCTCAGATCGATCGCTGAAAGTTGAGCGGGGTGATGCTGGCGTTGACCGACGTGATGGCCACGACGTCCTCCGCCCCCGCAGATGCGAGGGCCTGCACCGTCGTGTTGACCGAGGCAATCGCTGCCATTTGCGTGTTTGCTGGGGCAATCCCCACGCCTTTGTTTTTCGGCATCTGCTGTGGTGACGGACTCAACATTGGCAGCAATTGCTCGCCTCCTGCAGCAGCGTTGACCGCCAGCTCGTAGAGCGTCATCTGCGGCTGACTGCAGCTCACGCTTATTGAAATCATTGCTTTCGCTTTTTGCGCCATCAAGCGCGCATGCTCTCGCCGTTGATTGTTTCATAGCGATCTCCGCGATCTCTGGGTACTGTGGCTTCGCCAATATACAATTGTAACCCACTAATGCATGTTTCACGCCTTCAGGCAGGCCAAGCGCGCGCATGTGTCCTGCGCGGGCCCCTGAGCTCTGCGCCACGACGAGTTGTGGCGCACATGAGCCGGGCGTCGCCCCCTGCAACCGAGGCGGACGTTGCAGCGGCCGAGTCGCCCGTGCGCCGCGGCAGCGGCCCTGCCAATCCAGTGACGGTTGGACTTGTCAACCTCATTACAGAGGCGCTTCGTGTGCTGGGCGTCGGGTGCGACATTGAGTGTTTGCGTCTTGCCGCTTCCCCAAGCTCTGGCTGTGTGCATTGGGGGCGGCGATCTTGCAACACAAACGATGCGAGCCATGGGCACTTTCTAGCCATATACCCCCTGGCACCTGCCACCGTCATCTGATGCACGCGAATCAATTCATCGCCCGGCAGGCAGCAGCGGTACGAACGCGTCCGGGAGCAGCAGTCCCTAGAGCCGCCATTGTCACCCGGTGACGTGGACGGCGTCGTGCGCCGCATAACTGCCGACTTTGGCAACGGCTACTTCGTCACCGGCGTCATCGACAGCGCGGTGTATGACGAGCAGTGCACGTTCGTGGACCCCACCATCTCGGTGCGCCTCAGCGCAGGTCTTCGAACTCGCAGGCTTTCCTGCAGCGGCCGGCCGCTGGTGCTGCAGCCCCGGCTGGTGCGCAAGGAGGTCACACTTATACATGTTCAACACGAAAATTAACTGCCATTGTCGTTGCCCATCCACTTCCCGCTCATGCGTTACATACCTGCTGCTTATCACCCGCAGTTTTCTGGCCTTGACCTGTGGAAGCGGTGAGCCCGGCCAACCATCAGCCGGCACCTAGCTGGCCCAGCAGCAAGTGCCCCGCCGCCTTGACCACAAGCCCACAGAACATGCGCCACAGACAGCTCATGCTGCATAACAAACCTGGTGCAGCCTGCCCCGGCCGGCTGGGGCGTCGACGGGCCCCGCGCGGCGCGCCGAGCTCATTCGCGTGTCTCGGCCGCCCCCCTCCCTCAACCCTGGGCAGCAACCTGGCCCTGCTGACGCCCTTCCTGCTGAGCCCAAAGCTGGACCTGCTGACGATGCGGCGCATGGGGGCCAACGCAAACGGCATGCAGGAGCTGGAGGTGCGGGGTCGGCGTGGGGCATCTCTGGGGGTTGCCAGCGCGCACTGGATACGCGGGGTGTAGCGAGGATGTATGCGGCCTTTGCAATGCCCGTTCTGTGGTGCTTGGCAGCCTGGGTGGCAGCTTTTGCATGAGGGAGCCAGCTGCTTGGCAGCCAGGACGTCACCTGCAAGCCGGATGCCTGCGGCATGCCACGTGAGTGCAGGGGCGACCGCGCTCACCTCCACCTTGACTTCCCGCACCCTCCTCGCGGCGCTTGGCTGCCCCCACCCTGCAGGCCACGTGGGCGCTGGCCACCTGGCTGCGCCTGCCGTGGCTGCCGCTGGTCTCCATTGAGGGGTCCACGCGGTTCACGCTCAACGCAGACGCCAACAGGGTCGTGAGGCACGTGGAGAGCTGGTGCGCACCCCGACCCCCCCCCCCCATTTCACCCCGCATGGCACTCTCACACACACCTGTCATCACACCACCCTCCCATCCATCGCCTCGACACTCATCAATGCTCCATTTTCAATGGGTGCCTTTAATACCAATGGCCTGCAGCCTATCGACACAAGGGCCCAGCAAGTACACCAGGCAGCACTGCACCGCCTCGCTGGACCTGCGCGTCATGGTTGCATTCCACAGTGTGTTGACTGTGCTATCACCACCTGCGCCCCGCGCCATCCCGCCAGGAACGTGACGGCCGGGGAGGCGCTGCTGCAGCTGTTCAAGGCCACCCCCGGCCCACCTGCACCCTGAGCAAGCTGCGCAGTAATGTCCATTCCCCATTTAAATTTGTATGTTTCTTCTTCCATTTTTGTATGCCAGTGATTTGTGTTGTTGTGCTTGCATATGCAGTGTTTGGTGGTGTGTAGTCTGAAAGGGTGTTGCTGCTGTCCTGCGTGCAGTGCTGCCTTCGCCAAGCGGCGCACTGTTGCTGGCGCCCTTCATGTTGCTGCGACCTGTGCTGTCAATGGGCGCAGCACAGCACATTTCCGCAAGGCTCACAGTTCTGGGCGGTTTGTGTGCTTTTACTACCCACATAACTAAACTTGTGGCACGCATGCATTCGTGCTGGGATAGAAGCAGTGGCCCACAAGCCACATGCACGCACACCGTCAGCTTTCAGCTGTCGTGCCGGAACGCTGTGTCTCTGGTGCCCGCATGCAGCGCCGCCTTGGGTGTGCCGTTGCTGCTGCCCTGTATGACCATGATCGGTGTTGGAATAAACGAGCAGACATGGAGCAGCTGCATCCACCTTAGCAAGCCTCGTGCAGCCAGGGAAGAAGTGAGGAATTGATGAAACTATGCAGAGGGGCTACGAAACTGTCGTGCACAAGCAGCTACCCAAATTCAGTGTAGTTGTACAGCACAAAACATTACTCCTGAGGCAAAAGCGCACACAACCAGGTTGCCCTACCACAGCGTCAACACACCATCCAACAAGTGTGCAGCAAAGCAGCTGTTCACTCGCCGCAGTTTCACTTGCTGTCGGCCTCTCCAGCTCGACCACGCGCAGTTTCTGCGATGCTGACGGCCTCGCCAAGGCGGTCAGCAGATGCTGGGACGCTCCGCCGCTGCTCGTCCCCCACCTCCCCCGCTGCCGCCTGCCCGTCGGTGCTAGTGCCACCACGCTCCTCACCCACATCCTCCCCAGCAACAGCGTCCAGGCCCGGCCTGCTGGCGCCCGCAACGCCGCCTGCACGAAGCTCGTCGCCCTCTGAGACTGCAGGCAACACCAGGCCCGCCGCCACGCCAGAGCCTGCATCCTCGCCGCTGCCGCTGCTGCCGGCGAGGCCACTGCCAAAGCCGCTGCCGTCGCCGCTGCCGCTGTTGGGGCCGCCGGCGCTGCCACCGGAGCCGCCGCCGCTGCCGCCGCTGCTGCTGCTGTTGAGGCCGCTGCCGTCGCTGCCGCCGCTGCCGCCGCCGCCCATCCAGACGGCCGTGCCGGCAGCCAATAGTTCTCGTGCGCCGCCCTCCAACCCAGCAAACTGCGTTTCAACCGCCGCCAGCTGCTCCGCCAGACTGAGGGCGCGGGGTGGGGTGGAGGTGGCAAAGCTTGAGCGCAGCAAGGACAGGGCAGGTGACGTTGGACCACGTGCCGCCAAGATCGCCACCAGCGGATTACAGGCACAAGCTTGCAGCTCGACTCCCAGTGCCACGTTCAAGGGCACAGCTGAATCACCCTCCCCATGCCATAGCGCGCCCACCTGTCTATGTGGTATGCGATTTCCAGGTCCGTCTGCGGCACCGCCACCGCCATCGCTGCCGCGGGCCCTTGAGGCTGCGCGTCGCGCAGCGCACCCCGGTGTCCTACGGCGCCCACGGCCGCTGCCGACTGGCGTTGCATCGCGGCGCCCAGCTGCGCCAGCAGGCCGCGGGCCTCGTCGTCAGTGCCGCCCTGCGCTGCCTCCAGGTCCTGGAGCGTTGATGACAAGAACTGCATCAGCGCGCCGCCATCCAGGTCGGGCAACGGCGCTGCAGCGGCAGAGATGGGACCATCATCATCATCCAAGGGTGAGGAAGTCATATTACAAGTCCGCCTTTCGTGGTACTGTCGTGCTGGAGGGTTTGAGAGCACGTCAGAACGCGCTTCCAGATCGCTGGTCCGGGGCTCTCACGCTTATCCAGACAGCACAACTTGGTTAAATGTAAGTATGCCGAAATTTGATCAGGTGTGGGCAGTCCTGGCTTGCGCAAGCAACGGTGTCACCCACGCAGTGACACCGTTGCAGCTGCTGGTCCGTGCCGTACCTCATACATCAAAGAGTAAAGTACATAACATGGATTTGGATCTGTTTGTTTGGTTGAAATCAAGCTTGCTCTACTGTGCAAGTTCCGGCCCAGCCCAACTATCATGTCTTCACGGCACACATTCGCGACCAGCGACGACCAGGAGGAGGAGATGATGCGGCTGGCGTTAGCTTTGAGTGCCAACGAGGCGCATGGGCGGTCAGGTGGTGAGCCGTTGCAGACCGTCGCATCGAGGCGTGTTGATGCGGACCGCATGGGCGCCAGCTGCTGCCACCTGCTCGCTTCGCATGGAAGGCCAGCGACGCTGATGGTGCCGAGCTGCGTTTACTCATGGACTCCCGCCCTACTGCAGGATACGCTCAACATGGAGCCACGCCGCAGCCGCAGCTGCAGCCCCCGCCTCCGCACCTCCCCTATGGCCCGCACCAGAACCAAGCGCCCGCAGCTCCGCCCCAGATGCAACAGACACCACAGCAACAGCAACAACAGCAGCAGCAGCAGCAGCAGCAGCAGCAGCAGCAAAGGGAGAAGCCTGGTGTGATGGGCGGCCTGCTCCGCGCGCTGCGCAGCGGGATCTCGTCTGGCGCGGATGCGCTCGCCCTGCCCCGCTGCGCCGGCTGCGGCGCCGCCGCCTTTGGCGAGCCGATGTTGGTCGCCGGCGGTCTTACCTATCACGCCGCCTGTTTCCGATGCGCGGCCTGCGGCCGGCCCATCGCGGCCGGCGGCGTGATGCAGTACAGCACCGAGCGCGAGACGGGCGCCGCGTTCCACCCGTCCTGCTACCGCGAGCGCTTCGACCCGCGGTGCTGCGTCTGCCGCGGCCTGGTGCCCCAGTTGGAGGCCGGCCGCATCTCATACAGCTACCACCCCTTTTGGAAGGACTTGAAATGGTGCCCCGCCCACAACACTGACGGCACGCCGTCCTGCTTCAGCTGCAACAGGCTGGAGCCGCGCGGGGACGAGTGGGTGGTGCTGCGGGACAGGCAGCGGCGCGTGTGCCTGGACTGCCTGGGCACCATTGTTGTGGACACCCCAGACGTTCAGCCGCTGTACCGCGAGGTGCGGCGGCTGCCCCAGAGTTGGCTCGGGGGCGGGCACGGAAACGTGCTTTGTGAGCCGCCTGCGCTGCTCGTGTTGCCGTACTGCTGCATGCGCCAACAACCGACTAGGGGGCTTGCTTAGCCCAAGCCGCCATTGCACGGACACACTGCCATCCAGCGCTTGGCCGCGCTCATCACAATTCATGGCGGCTGTGTCAGTCCTCCTGCCGGCATGGCGCGTGCCCTGGCAGTTGCATCAGCACGACCCTGCGGGAGGGCCTGCATACGTCTCCGTGTGTGTTGAGCGTGCAGTTTGCACACACCCACACCCCCCCCACACACACACGAAACCATACACGCACAACCACACAGGTTGTGGATTTCTTCAGGGTTCAGGGCATGGCCCTGCCCTACGCGCCGCAGCTGCTGCTCGTCGAGTCTGGCGTGCTGGAAGGTGCGTTTTGGTTGGCGTGCGCGGGACCAGCTGTGGGTTGCGCAGGCATCACGGGTGCGGCCGATGTCAACCTTTGATGCTGGCTGGACTATGCTCACGGCAACACAGTCTTCAAGCTGCGCTGCGAGCTGCTCCTGGAATGTCCCAGGGGCTTGCTTTCCAACAGCCACCTCAAAACCCAACCACGTGCAACTTGCAATGCGTGTGTTCGTGTTCAATCACGCCATGCGTGCTGGACCCTCCCCTGCAGACCATGCGACGCGCGAAATGGGCCGGCCCCCGGGGCTGGAGGGCGCCCCTTTGTTCCACATCCTCGGTCTCTGCCTCGCCACAGTGTACACGTGAGGCGCCGCAGCTGCACGCCGCGACTCCCCATGGTTGCCTTGGCACCATCTGTTATCCATTTGCCGGGCGCTGGCAGCCTGGCAGCATGCGCGATCACAGCGTTCACGCACGTGCCGTTTGTGCTGGCTACACAACTCATGTGCACCCATTATCGTCTTTTCGCTTTGCACAAACGTACACACACACACATACACACACACATACACACACGTACACACGCATGCAAAAACACACACTCTCACAACGCCACCTCAATCTTCCCCAGGTCAATCCCCGCAGTCATGCGCATCGGCCAGGGCCTGGGTGTCAGCAGCGTCGCGACAGCCCTGGGCTCCGCCCTGCCGCGCGGCGCGACGCAGCGCGTGAGCGTGCAGGGGCTGCTGGTGCTTTATGGCCTGCCGCGGCTGCTGTGCGGCAGCATCATCGCGCACGAGCTCACGCACGCCTGGGTGAGCGGCAGCACGGGCGGCTTTCGTGGGGGGTGGGCGCTTTTCATATGCATCAGCTGGCTGACGGGAAGGGCTGTGTTGTGCTGGGGCTCGCATGTGGAGTCTCGTTGCTTGAGGTCCAGCAGCAGAATCAGGACAAACCCGAAGCCACACCAAGCTGCCGGTGGCTCTGTGCAATCGGCAGGTGCGGGCCTGTCGGCGGCCCCACAGAACATCGTCCAGCTTCTGCTGCGACATCTCGTCAAATTGCATGTGCTAAAGTGCGATGTACTATCCTCTCCTCTGCTGGCCCACCTTTCATTGCCCTTCCCCCGTCAGATCAAGATGCAGGGGGCGGTGGGCATCGACCCCCACATTGAGGAGGGCCTCTGCCAGGTCAGCATGCAGCTCAGGCATTCATGCTGCTGCTCATTGGGCTTGGGCGATTGCTCCACTGGATCGCTGGGACTACTTGTTGTGGCCAGAATGAACAAAGTGCTTGCTGCTGCCATGCAGCGCCTGGACGTCACTTTCTGCCAGAGGCTCATGCACGCCTTGGGAGGTTGTGGTGTATTGGTTTCAAACCCTGGTGCGGCCACCTGCCCGATCCCACCGATCTCATCAACAGCCCCTTGGAAATGCCTGCGCAAACCCCTGCCCCCAGCTGCTGGCCTACCTATGGCTGGAGTCCCAGGACCACAACGCCAGGCGGGCCGGCCCCGACCAGGAGCGCCTCGCAGCCTATCTCACGTGAGGACCCGCCCCTCATGCACAAAAGACGCCAACACGTTGTCATTCTTCCTGGTGCATTCTGCGCTCCTGTGCCCGTGTCCCTCCGATTCTCGGTTTGTCCAGGCCACTCCCTTCGGGTGGCAACGCCTGCGCCGCTGCGCTTCCAGCTCCCATCGCTTCCGCCTCACCCATCCTCAGCGCACATGCAACGCCCACAATCCACTTCGCCGTTGCCACCCGCCTCCTGACCCCCAGCCACAAGATTCGCACCGACACGTCCCCCGTCTACGGCGACGGCTTCAGGCGCGCCCTGGAGCTGTACCAGGTGGGGCGGGGGAGCGGGGCAGGGG